TATATATATATATATATATATATATATATATATATATTTGTTATGTATTATATATGTATTATATAATTTTATTATATACTTATAAAATTTATTATATACTTAAATATATATATGTAAGTAAAAATTTAAAAATTGTTCTAAATATAAGTAGAAAATCCCCATATTCTTTAAACTAAGAATTATACCTCTAAATAACTTCTGAGTCAAAGAAGAACTCACAGTGGAAATTAGAGAGTATTTGAGTAATAATGAAAATAATTGAATTGTAATGATAACACTGCCCATCAAAACTTACGGGATGAGGTAAACCATGATATAAGAAAACATTAGCTTTCAACACATATTAGAAAAGGAAGAGACTAAAAATCAAAAAATTAGTAGTTTCTGGAAGAAAAACACGGAGAGATGATTAACACCTCCAAAAGTTGGTTCTTCAATAATTAATAAAATTTACACATCTCTGGTAAGTCTAATCATTTAAAAAATGAAACGTTCAAATAATCAATATCAGGTATATAAAAGGGAACATGCCTGTAAATTTGCCAATAAATTTCTGACAACAAAATTGAACATTTGTATGAAATGGAAAAATTTCTCAAAGAAACACAATATGCCAAAACAGCCTCAAGAAGGAAAATAAAATATTAATAATCATACAACTATTAAATTGAATCTGCAATTAATCTTTTATTAATTTCCTACATCTCGATAAAAGTATTTTTTGGATGTGGCATAGAATTTAGTCAACCACTGTTAGTTTGCAACAGTGTGACTAAGACTATCGTAGACACTATACGTTGGGCAAGAAGATTTATAGAACTAGACTATGGCAGTTCCTAATTTTTAGGAGTTTATAATCTATGCATTGAAACACATATGAGAGGCATATGGAAGAGTTAAGATTTAGATAATGACTTTGGGGAAGAAAGAAAAGAAAGTATCTACAGAAGCACACAATCCTTTACTATGAACTAACTTTGTCTTAGTCTGTTTACTTCTGTTCCACTCTCCTCTTTAATTATAGGTTCCTTTAGTTTGTTTTAAGTATGGTCAGTAGAATGGCTTATTTTCAGGAAAGAGAACTGTTTAAGAAATAATCTGCCATGTGAAAGATGTGCTCTGGTAACCTGTGACCAGAAGGAACTGGAAGTCTCCAAACCTCCCCAGGTTTGTACTTGGCCAGTGATGCTACTGGCTACATGTATGGGGATTTATTAGTTGATGTATTTATCTCAATGGATTGCCTCATTAAGTTTGCAGATGTTCTGTCAATAGAAGTCCTTTAAAAACAAATTATACTGTTTTTATTAGAGTTTTCCAATGCACAATCCAGAATAAGAGAGTTAACACATTTCAGCACAGAACAAAGTAGCATGTATTTAAATCTCAGGGGAGGAAAAGCC